TAAATGTTCAACTCTTTTCAATATCATTTTCGCATCATCAATATCTCCAATATTCGTATCAAGATGTTTGATATGGCGAGGTATTTTCAAACAGATACCATTAAGTATTAGTCTGTTATCTCTCCAACCATAGCCATGTATTTTAATTGAACGAAGATTGAATGCATAATTGAAAAGGACTTCAAGCGCAACATCTACACTAACAATCTTGCAGCTGAACTCAAAGTTCAATTCCAAATTTTGAAGACTAGATAGGTTAACAATGTTTGAAAGCTGTTCAATTAGGTCGATCGACCATGTTTGATTGATTTTGAGTTGAAGTTTTGTCACGTCAGGAAACAGATAATTTGATATTGGTTTAGTCTGAAACAAAAAATTCATAATATTTTAAGAAACAGAAATGGATTGTTTTCTCCTTTAAAACAGTATAGTTGTCTCAACAAACTTTCTGTTCGAATGAAATCAATTAACTTAAAGACATTTTGTACAAAAATGGATAATTCAACACTCAAGCAGTATCTTTTAATGTTCTTCATTCAGTATTTGTTAAGACAGCACCTTTTGTGTTTTAGGTGGACGATAGAAGCGAAAAGACCTTTGTTTCGGATTTGTCTGATGAAACAGACGTTCGAAACATAATGTATGACTATTTTAGCAGAAATCTATTGCAAAATTTAACAGTACTTAAATGAAATTAATGTAGGATATAGGTGTGAATCTCTTCTTCGTCCATACCAATATTAACATTTGCATCTTTTTTTTCGTCGATCTTGGAAAACGTGGTGAGCTGAGAACGAAACAATTTTTGTAAGCTTGCGTGCCTCTGTGTCTTTATCATCATAAAATAAAAGTTTATTAGTGTTTTTCTTTTGTGCAGACCATTATTTTCTTACATCGAGAAATAGAGCATTTTCCAATGGATTGAAAGACTTTGAAGCCACAAATAGGGAGTTTTAAGCTCATACTTCGCCTTTATGTTGAATGCCACTAAACCATGGCAATCTTTAAGGAGTTCCCAGATAGTTATAAATCGCGACAGAATCATCGTGGTATGTCTACCTAGTATAAAATAGGACGTGAATACTAAAGTCAAAATAATACAAATTAAATAAGTGAGTTCCACCGTGAAATTTTGTTTTCGATAATTTCCTGAAATTGGTAGCTACTCTGTATAAGAATTTATTATCTTAATGATATCATAATAAGACTACGAACTATTTGAAAGAACGTCTAATCACTTGACGGATCATTTCTTGTTCCACCTATTTCAAGGCATTGATAAATTTTACTCTGACTTTCCAAAAGAAAACTCGACATCAGTAAATAGTGCTATGGAAGAACACTGATAAGCTTTCAGAATGAAGGAATACCGAAAACTAATAGTAATTTTGATTTCGACAAGTAAAATAATGCTTACCTTTTGTGAAATTTCAGCAATTATCAGTTCGTCCAAATTTACAGACAATTTATGCGCATTGACAACGATTGGTGCACCGTTCTCAATGATATTCAACGTGGAATACAAGATTTTGTTTTGGAAGTTTGGATACTCGAAATACTTTCGAAAGGTCGGTATTGAATATATATGGAATATCTGACTATATTTGTTGTGCTCATAGTCGCACTTGATACGCCAATTTTTATTTTCGACCCAGAATGGAGTTTGAAATGGTGCAATCAGTGATTCTACAGTAACTAAATTTGAATCAAAATCTCCAGAATTCCAAAACCAAAATTGAAACTTGCTTAATAACGGCAATTTCGTTTGAATGAATTCTTCCCAACGAGAACCATCAAAAAATTGCTGGTCAACTGAACAGTTACAGCAGAACAATTGAAGGCGCTTTAGCATAGGTAAATGTGAAAGGACTGATTCAATTTCGTTCATTGTTAAATTGTTACAATCGTTAATCGAGAACGATGTTAAATGATCTGATGGTCGAATATTAGAATCCGTATTAATAGTAGCAGCATTGTATCTTTTGATATAAACGCATTTCAGAGCAAATGTTCTTAGACAAGGTAAGTGATTAAGAAAAGAGTAAACTGTAGTCCAATCACACGAAGATATTGTCACATGTTGCAATCTACATTGAATAGGCCATTGTATTACATTTTCAAGATTTAAAGCTCCATCGAATTCAAACCTAAGAAGTTTATTGTGTGACATGATAGATGATAGAAGTGTCAAGTCAAAGTGCTTCACGTTATAATATTTAGAATAATTACCGGGCGAAATTGACAATGTTCTAAGAGGATATTTGATGATGTGCTTTTCAAATTCTTGATATTCATTTGTTTCTACATTAATGAGATTCAATGAATGTAGTTGAATGAATTGGTCAACAGAAAATAGAGAAAGAAATAATTGAATTTGACCACTTGTCTGTAATTCATCTGCAAGCGTAACTGAAGTAATATTTTTGGGATCTATAATACGTGCCAGAATATGCAGATCAGTTTTTGACATGTATCGAAAGTCCAGTTCATATCGATTGTAAGCATTTGATATTGAATAAAACCGTTTATTCACACATCGAATTGAGAATGCAATTGTTTCTGCATCGAGATAGTCGAAAATTCGATAAATCAATTCAATAGGTAATTCTTCTAGATAAGATTTGTTTGTAACAGACATATTGTAAGTCGTAATTCGTCGAATGTACAACTTTAATGTAGTTTCGCCTAAGATGAAATAACTGCTCGCATATTTGTGCTGCGAAATATTGAAAAAGAAAGGAAGAAAATGAATCATCATTTGACTCATTTCGTAAACATTGCACACTGATAATGCAATAACCAGTGTTTGAAATTCTGAAGAAATTAAAATAAAACTGCTTTTTATTCTGTTTTTTATTATTATTACGAATAAGCATGATAATATTGTAGGAAACGAGTGATATCTTAGCATTAACTGTTTTACACTCATAAGAGTTTTCGAGTTATAAGATGTTTCTATCAAGAAGTGCAGAATACACACTGAGGTAAGGTGACAATGTAATATCGAATAAGACTGAAGATAATGATGTTTTCAAAGATATTTGTATCTGAAATCGTATGATACAGATGATTGTCGTCTATTTTAATTTCATCTTTAATTAAAAGAGAGGTGGCCTTAAAATCGAAAATGAGAGAATTCTTATGAGAAGTTGAAATTTGGACTAAAATGTTTCTAAGAGAGTATCGACATATAAAAAGTATAATGTCATTTTTTGTTTAACTGTTCGGAGAATAATTGATGAGATGCAATTATGAACGAATGCTAAAGCGTATGACGACTAAAATATATTCTGTCACAATATGATATACTTCTTAACCTACTCCTATCAGTTTATGACAGTTCATAGCAAAAATTAGCAATCATGTTCTAGAAATGTCATTATTCATTATAAAAGCAACGTCATTATGTTCACTATTTTTATATCAGCAAGATTATAACTAAACCCCGTATTACTCATGAGTTTATATTCATAAGATATAATCTCAAGTGATCAAATTCAATTATTTTATTTTTGAAATAAATACAACATTGAAAACTCAGTTCATTGTAGTTATTGAACGCATTTGAAGTGTCATGCCACCTACAGTTCTTTGTAATGTATTGATTTCATTGAATCGCCAATGATAACATGGTAAAAAATATTTCATAAGAATTTTTCGACAATTTTTTCGAAATACTTTCGAAATAATAAACTTCGAATAGAAGCTGAAACAAGCTCGAATAAAAGCAAGATATTCCCTAGACTGAAAGGCTAGAGTCTAGAAAGTGAAATTCACCTGTGCCTGTCTGTAACACTTGGTACAAGTGACCATTTCCGTGGTACAAATGACTATTTTCATGGTACAAGTGACTATTGTCATGGTACAAATGACCATTTCCATGATACAAAGCATCATGGGTCGTGGTATAAGTGACCACTTTTATGGTACAAGTGATCGTTGTCATGGTACAAAGTACCGTTTTCACAGTACAAGTGACCGTTATCAAGGTCCAAAGTATCATAATCGTGGTATAACCGACCATTTTCATAGTACAAAGCACCATGGGTTGTGGTACACGTGACCATTGTCATAGTAGAAAGCACCATTAGTCGTGGTACAAGTGACCGTTGTCATGGTACAAAGTACCATAGTCGTGGTGCAAGTGACTGTTGCCATAGTGCAAAGTATCATATGTCGTGGTAAAAGCGGCCATTCATTCGGCATAGTTGTTCATTTTTGTGGCTAAACTCAGTGTTCACGGCGCAATCAACCATTTCTATGTCATAGTTGATCATTCTTACCGCTAGAATGAGCATGTCTCTGCCACAAGTAGCTATATCCATATTAGAAATAGCCAGCACTATTGCATAAATCAGCATCACTAGTCATTGCAATCAACTAAGGCATATGCTTCATCATATACATTAGCATCTTTCAATGCTTCAGATCAACTGTTTAAATATATATCTATAGCATGTAAAATACAACATTTCGCAAATATTAATTTGTCCTAAACTCATCATTAAACAGAATTCATTTTTACTAAAAAACATAAGGTCATCTGTGTCATCATCCGTCAGTCTAGGGGGCCAGTGAATCAACATGCAATGTTGATGAATGTTACTTGTATTTTGAAGCTAAGAGGAAATACAGTAAACTGAACAAAATGATCAAAAGTAACGTAATCAAGCTGTATGAGATAAACAACAGAAGACAACAGAGGCGTAACTAAATCAACCCACGTACACGTGGAGTGTATTAAATAGTCAGTTTTCGATAGAAATTGACTTTTCGCAACCAAAATGATGGAATACGAAAGGCAAATCGAATTCCGACAGGAGTTCAGTTTTGCTTCTTAATGATACCATCCTTTATTCAAAAAGTATTAAATCAGTATTAATAGTACAAATAAATTACATCAAAATCTCTTCTGTGCTTCTATTCATTACAGATAAATAAAAAAATCCAAGCATAACATGTTTAATAATGTGATCGATTTCTCTTTCTATCATGTTTATCTACATTTGAATATTGGCTTCTCCAGTTTGAGTTACGTCATTACGATCTTCTTCATCATCAAATGAATGATTTCGTGTTTCTGGAAGAGTACAAATAATAAGAACTAATACGATAATTAATCCTGAATAAACATAAAATGAAATTCGAACATATTTATCACTGAGTGCTTCATCAATAATTGGTGCCAAAATTGATCCGAAACTACCAAGAAAAACAAAAACAGCATTGGCTAAACCTCGCATTGATGTTGGAAAAAGTTCAGGAACATATATCCATGCAACACATACAGTGCTACTAACTGATAATTTACCCAATTGTGAAACGATAACAGTAGCAAGAGGATATGATTTCATAATAAATGGAATAATAAATACACAAATTGATGTAAGAGTGGCGAAACTAATTAATGAATATTTTCTTCCTAAAAGTGTCGTAATTAAAGCACCAGCAATTAAATATCCAATAGCTTCAACAACAGCTCCAATAATAAAATCCCAATAAGGACTAAAAGTTCCATTGGCTGCAGCTAATCTATACGAAATTTTCGTGTATGATAACATAGTAACAAATTCAATAAAACCACAAATAGCTAATCGTGATAAATGTCGTAAAAATTTTCGTTTCGTTGGTTTTCCTTCATTTGTAGTTGCTTCTGTTAAACGAGTATCATCAACTAATTGGTTGTAAAGAGATAACCATCTATCTTCTGAACGTCCATTCATTTTTGCCATTTTTCTTAAACAAATTTCAAGTTCATGATATTTTTTCCGAGCTAATAACCAATAAGGTGATTCTGGAACAAAATAAAGATAAGGAAGTGAAATTGAAAAATAGATACTAATTATCCATTTAAGTAAAAGCCAATCACGTGATACATAAGCAAAGATTGTCAATAAAACTTCTCCAATTGTATATGCTACTAATGTAAGACTACAAGCAAAACTTGTATGTGTAGATGATGTCAATTCCATTAAAAGAAGAAATGCTATACAATAACCATCGATAGCTGATACAACTTGATTGATAAATAAAAGAATAAATCTTAAACGAAAACAATTGCTTTATTATGATGATTTTATATTTACTTAGAATTGATATTCATTTTGACAAATTGAAGAAGAGCTTGAGTAAGAACAGTAATAGAAAAAAGTCCAATAGTTAAAATTTGAATCATTTTTCGTCGTCCAATTTTATCTGCAATTGATCCAGTAACTAAGACTGCAAATCTATTTAAATATGATATTCAAATTTTATTTATCAACTTAAATAAAAGAATGTTCATTTTTTACGCTCCAATTTCATAAGCTGTTGAAAGCCATGTTTTTTTTATTGCCTTAGAACATACATAGCCAGCTTCTTCTGTAAATGTTCGTCCAAATATAGTTCGATCATAGACAAATTCATTACATGTACTACCATTTATATCTTCACATTTCGATGTTGAATACTGAAATCAATCAAATAAAAGAATATGACTAATATTGTCAAAATGAAATTTATCGTTATTAGGCCATACATTCGAAGAGAGTCGACAAGAGAAATCAGGTTCAGCAAGACCAAATACATAATAAAATCCATTAATACCACTACTGAGGGTGAGAAAACTTAAAAAGATATAATGAATTAATTGAAACCTATTGAAATCACCACAACGTCTAATAACATTTTCTAATGATACTTCTTCCATTGTTATGATACTCTGTTGAATAATATCTAAGTGCTGACAAAGAACACCTTAACATACTAACAATAAGATAAAATGTGTCACATGTGTCTTACAGTGTAAATAAAAATGGAGAATAATAAACCATCTCTGTCCTTCTATTACCGTTAGACAAACCTGTTTTATGTTTATAGGCGCGTTTTGCCTGGCAATGGAGGATTTTCATAGAACAATGGATACCTTTTCATGGCAACCATCAGAAGTCTCGAGAGTCCTTTTGTATAGCTTCTTAGCAAAAAGAGAGAAGTCAAAGGTGATTGAGTACGAATCTTTCCCTAGAAGGGTGTGGGTGTGGGTGGGTGTGGGTGGGTGTGGGTGGGTGTGGGTGGGTGTGGGTGTGGGTGTGGATGTGGGTGTACGTGTGGGTGGGTGTGGATGTGGGTGTGGGTGTGAAGTATGGGTGTGGGTGTGAGTGTGAGTGTGGGGATGAGGTGTGGGTGTGGGAGTGGGTGTGGGTGTTGGTGTGTGTGCGTGTGGATCCACTCTTCACGCGCATTCAACTCCATATCCACACTTACACCCTCACACCCACCCACCCACACCTACACCCCAACACCCTCACACCCTCACACCCACACCCACACTCCGATGTATGTTTACGACGCTACGCAAACATGTCCTATACAGTAGTCGTCTGCGTGCGGAAATTACGCCGTATTTGCGTTATCGACCTATCTATTCGTGAGGAAATCACTATTTTTCAGTTTCTATTTTCAGTATCTCCATGGAACAATGTCAGGTAAAGCTGAAATTTCCAGAATATGTTAAGTTGAATTTCCTACATACACTCATAGTTTCATTAGACTTAAAGCGTCTTTACAATTTTATGATTGAAATAGAGACTCGCAACGAAGTCATCAAAATAGTCTTTCATATGGGTCTTATCTATATCTAGTGCATATGACAAAAATTTATCTCCTATCATGCCCAAGTGCAGAGTTCTATGAGAGTCGATTCCACTTCTCTCTTTTGAAAAACTCAGTCCAACAAAAAAAGTATGAATAAATGTTCATTTTTTAGTCTAGTTGAATAAAGATTTCCCAAGACATGAAATTTACAGATACTTCGACTGAATTGAACTCAGAATTTTCGAGTTAGCTCAAAATGACAAATTACTTCTATGGTGAAAGTAGATAGAAAAGACTGAGAACCCCTTATCCGAAGGTTGCATCGCGTTCTCAAAGCTTATCTTTTAAAGTATAGTCTGATCCTGTTCGTGATCGTTACTGTTGTAGCTCTCTTTTCGCACTACAAATTTTCCTGCTGAGAAAGATATTAATATGCGTGAAATTACTTTTAAAGATGTGTGTGTGGCAGCAGTCAGACCGTCGCTTAGCGTAACGATTCAAAAATGTGGAAATTCAACAATTCCCTACAGAACTAACCATCTCTGAAATTCATTACCTAAAAATTACGCTGTCAGATGGCGAAGTGATTGCACAAGGACTAGAAATAAAAAGATAACAATATTGTTTTTGTTCTTCTATAATAGCTTTCTGCCATTACAAAGGTGAGAATAAGTGCATTGAAAAGAAAGGTGTTCTTTTATCAGTTCGTATTGAAGATAATATTTTTTTTAAACATTTAGCTAAACATATTTAAAATCTTTTTTTTAATTTTCCATTCACCTAGCGCGCAGACGACACAAGGCAAGCTATTATCTGAAAAAACATTCATCTCTACCTTGGCGTGTAAGGGTACGGGTGTGGGTGTGAGCGTTTGGGTGTGACTGTGGGTGTGGTGTGGGTGTGGGTGTGGATGTGGGTGGGTGTGTGGGTGTGGGTGTGGAAGTGGGGGTGGGGGTGGGGGTGTGGATGTGGGGTGTGGGTGGGTATGGGTATGGTTGTGGTTGAACTGAAGACCTACACCCACACTCAAACCCTAACTTACATCGATTACGAACATTTGTTCCTCATATGAAAATGATATTGAATATCTAGTTGAATTAAATTAATTTCATCAGCGAATTCATGAAAAAAAATAGTAATTTACATTTTGTTAATATTTTGTAGTTAAGTTTTGCTGGAATAACTGAATTCTGTCTGTACTCTTAATAAGAACATTAGAATAGATTCGAAAAAAGGTTTTGATTTATTTGTTAATGAATATAAATCATGTATAACGAGTAGGAAAATGCCAACTTTTCTACCATCTTCTATTATTCTTAACCAAAAACGAAATACTAAAGTATTTTTCTTTTATTCTTCAATATTACACGTTTTTCATCGTTTCAACCTTTATCCATTCTCTTTCTTCCTTGTTATTTTGATTAAAAGTAATGTAAATGTACATTACATATGCTTTTTTGCAAAAATGAATCATTCAGTCGGTGTTTTTTTCTTGTCACATTTTTCCCGTTAAAGCAAACATGCAGTTACACCACTCATGTAAATTCATTTATATTTATTTTAGAATTCCAAATATATATGTCACAGTTCACATGGGAATTTAGTTGAGTTTGGAATGCGCGAAAAAAAAAATATAGAAAAAAAAGAGAAAATAAAATTAAACCTAAATAGAGATTTGAAAATAGAAAAACAAAGAGAGAATAGAAATAAAATCGTTTTCTTCATCAATAAATCTATTTGATTCAAATTGAATATTATTAGAATATTATGAATGCCTTTTTATAAAAATTATGATATTCATACTATTTTCTTTTTACAAAAGACTATTTCATTTTTTTTTTGTGTTTCTAAAGTTATATATAGATGATGTTTATAAAAATTGTATTAGATTGATATTAATAAATGAACAATTTATAAAAGCTTGTATTCGAAAATATTTTTATGCATGAAATCTATGTGTCACCATCATTTGTCCCTTTTATGTTTTCTTAGTAGAGGTTCTTTCCTACGAAACGAAGATTCAGTGATATCGCTATGATAACTTTTTTAATTAAGTTATTTCATGTGTTGTTTCATTTTAAATTATCAAATTTAAATTTCATAGAAATATTTATTTCGAAATTAAAGTCATACATCAATAATCTTGATGAAAAAAGAAGAGAAAAATATACGATTAACAATGACATGTATTACAAAATGATGAAAGTTTTAAACTCTGAAGATGTAGATGTGTCTTCAAAATTTAAATTCTGGGTTCGACATACATTTTGTTTAATGAAAATCGGATCAACCAATTTAATATGTAATAAAAAATCTAATTTGCCATTGATAACACAAGAAAACATGTATGAGAAAATTAATAATTGTCACATGACCGTCGGCCATTCTGGTCGAGCGAATAACACCTTTTTGGAATAGTATGACTAAAACAAAAAATTTCATGTCCCGCATGTCCCGTATGTCCCGCTTAGAAAAAAAAATCTATCTATTTCATAGGAAAAAAGAAATTCTCTATTTTTATCTAATACAAATTTCAATGTCTCGCATGTCCCGCTGATCAAAAAAAATCTATCTATTTATAATAAAAAAAGAAACTTTCATTTTTTTCAAAATAAAATTCAATGTCCCGCAAGTCCCGCTTAGAAAGAAAATCTATCTATTTTACAAATAAAAAAGAAATTCTCTATTTTTATCTAATACAAATTTCAATGTCCCGCATGCCCCGCTTAGAAAGAAAATCTATCTATTTTACAAATAAAAAAGAAATTCTCTATTTTTATCTAATACAAATTTCAATGTCCCGCATGCCCCGCTTAGAAAGAAAATCTATCTATTTTACAAATAAAAAAGAAATTCTCTATTTTTATCTAATACAAATTTCAATGTCCCGCATGCCCCGCTTAGAAAGAAAATCTATCTATTTTACAAATAAAAAAGAAATTCTCTATTTTTATCTAATACAAATTTCAATGTCCCGCATGCCCCGCTTAGAAAGAAAATCTATCTATTTTACAAATAAAAAAGAAATTCTCTATTTTTATCTAATACAAATTTCAATGTCCCGCATGCCCCGCTTAGAAAGAAAATCTATCTATTTTACAAATAAAAAAGAAATTCTCTATTTTTATCTAATACAAATTTCAATGTCCCGCATGCCCCGCGTAGAAAAAAAAAACTATCTATTCATAAGAATAAAAGAAATTTTCTATTTTTATCTAATACAAATTTCAATGTCCCGCATGTCCCGCTGATCAAAAAAAATCTATCTATTTATAATAAAAAAAGAAACTTTCATTTTTTTCAAAATAAAATTCAATGTCCCGCATGTCCCGCTTAGAAAGAAAATCTATCTATCTTACAAAAAAGAAATTCTCTATTTTTATCTAATACAAATTTCAATGTCCCGCATGTCCCGTTTAGAAAAAAAAATCTATCTATCTTATAAATAAAGAAGGAATTCTTTATTTTTATCTAATACAAATTTCAATGTCCCGAATGTCCCGTTTAGAAAAAAAATCTATCTAGTTATAAGAAAAAAAGAAACTTCATTTTTTTCAAAATAAAATTCAAAGTCCCGCATGTCCCTTTTATAAAAAAATACGTATATAATCAAACAAAGATAAATAAGCAACATATTACTTTCTCCTTATATTCTATATAAACTTTTCTTTGAAGTTAATAATATATCTTAAATCAGTGATATTTTTACTTTATCTTTCAGACAAAAATATAACTTATCTATTATTTCTGAAATAATTACTTACACATTTACCGATTCTACTTTCATCTCTATAAATTAGAAATATAGATATAGATTTTATTTTTGTATTTATATCGATTCCAATCTCAACTAAATTCTCTAACCAACTGCGACATATATCTTAATAAGATTAAAGTTTAAAATTTGAATAAGAAAGTATAATAGGTTTCACTTCCTTCTATTTATTAATGTTAATTAACAGATATTATAAATTCTTCAACATAACAATTAATATCAACCCGTGTTATTTGTTAATCTTTCACTAGGTTTCATATTTATTTTAATTTTTTTTTCCGTGCTTAATTAAGGTTTACACGGTTTACTGTCCGTTGATTGCTTTTCAATTTTAATTAGTTTTTTTTTTCTGGAAAAAGTATAACTTTTGCTCTTGAGGATTTACCGTCCGTTGAGGACATAAAAAAAATCTTTTCAATTAGTGTTTTTCTTGTGCGACGATTCACTGTCCATTGATCATTTCGAACAAGGGAAATCAACAAAAGAATAGTCATTTCAATTATCAATCTATTGTCAGGAAAAAAGAATTCTAATAAATATATGAATAAAATAATATTTTTCTAATCAATAGACAGTAAATCGTGCACACGCTTATTAAGTATCCGTGCTCATTGTTACGGCTTATTTATAAAGCAATTTCAAAACAAATATTCTTTTATAAAAGAAAAATGACTTTTTAAAAAATTTCCTTTATTCTATAGAATTATAATATCTTTATTAGTTAATTTTTCAGTCATGAGAACACTTTCCATCATCATGGACATTTATATCTGATAGACTTTTAATGGATTACTTGGAAAACGAAATTTCACTTTCTAGAAAGTAAATTTTTATACGATTGATTAGTCTTTTTTGATATTAAACAAAGAAAATTATATTTTTCTCTTTGCATAATCTGCTAATACATTTTTTTTCTTTAACAACTTTGATTTTCAATAAATAACGTTTCGTTGTTACTTTAACATACAAAAGCAAATTTAAAAAAGTTTCACTTTATTCATATTGAAAAATTCTTACGATTCTTTTACAAAAAGAAATTTCAATACACAACAAAATAAAGCAATATTCGCAGTTTCACTTTATTATAACCACACAAAAAGTGTATCTTCATCTGTCGTGTTAGGAACTTCTGTTCGAAAAGAACGGGTAATTGAATTCTGTAAATCGCATAATTTTTTCTCATAAAGTTTACCATATTTAATACAACCATTAATCGTGAGAAAATTTAATTTGGAAAGACCGTTGATAAGTATAAGTGACATTTTAATGACTTGACAGTTAATACCCTGTAGTTCTATGATTTGCAAATGAGGTAATCGTTCGACAATTAAATAGGCAATATTTATCAAATTTGGTTGTTTACAATAAGTAAAAAGATTGAGTTGTCGTAATCCATTTGACATAAGCATATTGCACAATGAAGCATCGTTAAGGAGATCGATTAAGGTTTCCTCTTTTAAATCAATTTTACTATTATATTCTGATCGATAATGCAGTTCTAGAGTACGTAGATTAGTCATTTGTGAAAAGAGAAAGTGAAGATGAATTGAATTGAAGGGTTGAACAATACTAAGCAATGTAACTTGATGCCAAGGAACGATAGGTGGTGACAAAGAAAGAAACTCATTGTTGATTTGATCATAATTGTCACTCATAAGAATCGTATTGCATCGAAGCAACTGACTGTTAAAGGCACGCCTATTATATGGGTATCGACTTTGTCTAAATATAAAAGAAAAATGTCGGTTATTTAAAAAAAAATTGTCAATTTTATACCCATGCACACTATTATACAGATAAGAATAAACACATAAATATTTCTCGATTCTTGGTAATGTTACAGCTCTAATAGAATACGTGTTTTTTTCGAAAGATAGTTTTAATTCAATTGGCACTGGTCCTTTGAGCTGTTCAAAGGTGTCAGATAAGATTTGGTTTGTTTCTGATGGTATCATTGGAGTTCCCACAAACCAGTTAACATGAAACGAATATAAACATTGACTGGAAAACATCGATATTAAATTGTGAAGAACATAGGGACCATTCACTTGTGCCACTAATATGAAGTTCGTTAGTGAAAATAAAACATCACGTTCAAATAATTCATTAATTGATTTCACAGTCATGATACATTCATTCCATATTATTTTAAGATAACGTAGATTCGAAGCAAGATGTCTATTAATAGGAGTAACTCGACTAAAATGGATTAACAAGATTAGTTCACAACGATAAAAAATGCATCATTCAAGTACTTAGTAAAACATACCTTTTTCTTTTATTTATCTACTCAAGATCGTACGTCAATGTTCTTTCTATATACAATATTCAACACTTCTTCATTTTACATTATTCTTCTCTATTCGATACAGAAATAAGTTTCCGAAATACATTCTCTTTTATTGGAAAGTTGTTTCTACCTATTATGAAAATCTTCATCTTTGATTTTCGTAGTGACATTTTTCTAAAAGTCCATTCGATATTGTCATTCATATTACGACCTATTCTAGCCTTATCTTTGGAGTTGCTCGATTTTTATTTAGGAATAGCTTTCGATCTTTCATCATTAATTTGAGTCTAATGTTTAAATTTTAAGTCTTAAATAAATACTAAGGAAATGCAATACAGAGTAATGAAGCGAAGCTTTTTCTTTGCACGAATAAATCGAAAAATATCATAATAATAAACTCAAATACTAACGAAGTATATTCAACGTTTTTTTACTTCTTTCTGTAAGTGGAAAGGCCTAGTCATTATTTAAGAACAATAAAAATAATAACATTTTATCTTAATCTCACTGAAAGTACATAATTTATATCAATCCTTTATTACATGCATTTATCTATAATTGTATATAAGAGCTTAACGTTTTTGACTGATTTTTTCATATTTATTGTCGACATTTCAAAATCTAATATTTTACTCATTTGTAACTTATGAACTATCTGACATCTTCTTGCTATTATTAATATTCGACTCTAAAATTGAATACAAATTATTCCAAATGTATCTTTTCAGTGCACAGATAATTCAGTTTTAACTACAATTTCTAATAAAATGATTAGATACATTCTTTTCTTCCATATACTTTACATTATGGTTCATACATTAAAATATATATAATTTTAAAGAACGAAACTTACTTGTTATCACCCTGTTCTAGTGGATGTTCATGAGGTAGCCAAGGATCACTTCGTTCAAAGCTGAGTTTTTCCAATTGTGGAAGATGTTCAAATAAATATGATAGAAAGCTCGATGAGCATTGTCGAAGTACAAGTGATTGTAAGTTTAAAAGGTTAGTTCGAATAGGTATAAAAGTTCTATTAAGTGGTAGAACGAATTTAGTATCTAGAGTATAATGTATGTATCGGCAGAAATGCAGATGACATACACGTAATGAAGAAAATAAGTGAAAAATTTGTTCATAATATGCACCTTCAGGCACACCTATAAACGTGTATGCAGCACGATCATTTGTTGGAAAGTGTACACTAAATATGATGAGAGAATTAATTGGTGACAATGAATTGAGAATCAATTCAAAAGAAGAACGTTTAATGTCAATTAAAGATAAATGACGAAGATTGATAAATGTAGATATATGTTCAGCTAACCATAAACCATTATCAATAGCTAATGTATCTGAGACACATAATGAAATAAGATGATTACAAATGTTTAGTTGTGATAAATATCTATAATAAAATTCTGTCACTGCTATACTCATTCCATTGAGACCCAAGTAAACGGGCATAAATGGTATGTTATTGATAATACCAGCAAATCGTGAATTAAGATTAGAAAAAATATTGAATACTTCATGAAACTGAAAGTAAATAAATATTTCATAGAGTAATTCGACGGAGAGATGTTCTAATGTTGTTGCCATATTTTGTCTTAATATCATTATAGTGAATATTGTGCATAATTCTTATATAATGGCTTCATGAACAATAGTACAAAGCATTATTGTTCTTTCTGACGATAGTCACCGCATAAGACGATATTATTATTGCTATTCGTCAACTTCATAGGTTAACGTATATACATTTTCTCTTCTTTTTTTTTTCGATCATTTTTTTTCCAATAGCGTGTTTATAAGAGGTGACAATAAAATTTATCTGATGGTCCATAAATTATTCTTTTTTCTTATATGAACTGAAACTCTTTTTTTTTAATATCACATATAATTATGACAACATTTTTCATAAAAAATGTTAATAGATTTAGTAACTCTAGAAATTCTAAAAAATGTAGGAGGAAATTCAAAAAAAGATGCTCCTATTAAAGCATATAACGCGAAATTCGGAAAATTCTATACATAAAAATGAAGCTGCTTGAATAAATTTTGTGTTGTTTTGTATCGGTAATACTTGTATTATTTATATTCTCTACATATTCCATTGAATTGTGTTTGTTTTTTCGATTTATTTCAGTATTTTTGTTTTTCTATCAATGTTCACTATTTTCTTTTATTATTAATTGTATTTGACCTTATAATTTATAATGAATAATCTTGATGGGTAATAATTATTTTTTTGTTCGTCTTTTTTTATGTATTCCAACTGAAGTTTTGAATAAACAATTTAATACACACTAGATATTGCAATTTTGTTTCTTTTCTATTCATTCTCAAAACTATTTTGTTCATCTCTCAAATTTTGATAAACATTCGTTATTAATACAATGTTATTCATACAAAGACACATGATTCATATCATGTTGTCAAACAAGATACTAACATATATTCTTTTAGTAACATTGTAAACAGTATAATACAGGATGTTTGGTATGTTGTAGTGTGTGGGTGTGGGTGAAAAGGAGACACCCACCTCTGCACCCCATACTCACACCAACGCCCACACCCTCAAGCCAAAGTTCGAACTTCGTAGTTTCTGGAAATCAGGGAGTGTATGAAACGACCATATCTCCTTTCCACAGGATTGGGAAACCGAACCGTTCTAGGAAATGAAGAGTGAGACAGGTCTATGCCATAAGCAAGGTTGACTTCAAGGGAAAGCGTTATAACATCTATGAATCTTTTCGCGTTAGTAGTGACTGTAGCACTCTCAGAACATAGATTACTTGTTATTTATTTATTCACCGAAAGGCGTTCAAGAGTTGGTGTCGCTCGTGTGATGTCTTACTGTTAACACGTTATCTATATTTTGATGAATGCTATAACACAGGATTAACTCTATCAGAAGGGCTAGAAGTTTCTACTCTTGTACGAAAGAGCTTCAGTAGCTCATGTAATTCCAGGTCTTGACTGGGTGTGAGTGTTGGTATTGGTCTTCTTGTCAGTCACACCGCAACTCTTTCTATAAATGAACACTGCGTTCATTATAAATAGCCGGATGAGGTAGGTATTTTTTTTTGTAAAGATTGCCTAAAAATCGTGAGACGAATTTATCCAAAAGGAAGACAATAATCACTCTAAATACAGTAAAGCTCTCATTAGTGAACACGTCCTATTTGAATGTATATTTCGGTTTTCCATCGAGTTTTGGTGTAAGCAGACCTCTGCATAGTGAACCTATGTACAACAAAAGCGAAGAGTCTTATTGCAGATATGCATCAATCTGTAACCTACCCATGTCGTGAAAATCGCCGCAATTTTTGCGATTTTTCAAAAAATGAACGTTAAATCGTGATTAATCGAAATAGGTTGAAAAATCGACGATAAAATCAGATTTTATCGTGATATTGAAAA